ATCACAGTGAATTAATTCTGGTATTATTTCCTTCTATATGTTCTCTAGTATTTTGGCAAATATTTTACAGTCACATTGCAAAGGGAAATCAGTCTATAAAAGTAGGGATTAATTTCATTCTTATTTAGTTTTAAAATTGTAAGAATTTCAGAGGATTTCCAGGAATTTGGTACTTTATGCCTCTCCATTATTTTGTTGAGAAGAGTAGTCAGGATCAGTGTGATTTCCTCTTTGAATATATTATAGAAGTTAGTTGTGAAACTGTATTGCCCGGGGAATGAGTTCATTATAAAATGTGACCAACTAGCTGTTTCAAGGGCTGCTGACAAAGTTGCTCAAAGGACTCTTCGCCCCAACTCTTCGCTTATGAGCTGCCCCTGCCACTTGGCATTCTTCTTGTGTGTTTGTTTCCACCAGTTAAAAATATCAGTGTCCCTTTCCTTTAGCAACACCATAGAGCCCTCGTTTTTTGAACTTGAATAGCAACTAAAAATATGTATTTTCTTTTCCAACAGCGCTGTTCAATTTGTGGGCAGGAAGAAAAGGGCTTCTCCTTTTTCCGGACCTTCTCCACCCCTCTTTTGCAGACTTCAGCAGCCCGCTTCCCAGCCTTCCCACCTGCCATTTCCTTCTGGATGAAGTGAACCATATGCTCCTCTCACAAGCAACTATTGTCCCTCCTTGTGCTGCTTATTGAAACCACGTGTTAAAGTGGGCTCTGGGCCTGGAGACATGCTTGCTCATTAACTCCAAGAAGTCTGCAAAGGACAAGGGAGCCATTTCCTTCTCAGCGTTTTTCTTCACTTGTGAAAACACAGCTTGTATGGAAAATACCAACAGTCGAGCAACAAGGCCTTCTCCAGTCAGGCAAGGCTCATTCTTTTGAGACCTGGATCATGTTTCCAAACCTCTGACTACTGAGAACCTCTGCAGCATTGAGGACAAGTGGTTGCTGACATATTTTAAATTTTGAGGGTGGAGGAAAGACTCTTGTGAAACTGGGAAAAGAGTAAAATCCATCACATTTTCATTTCTTGAAAATGAACAGACTAGAGCCTTTTCAAAATGAATCCTCATTAAGGAGAAATGAATTTGCATTAAGAAAGGAATTTTTTAAGAGTCAGGGGGATTGGAAGACTTTGTTCCAGCAGATACTGTTGACATTCAGCTTTCATCTCCCCTGTATTGACTTAGGCTGATAGCAGCCCAACAACATCTGATGACAACAACTGTCTGCATTGCTATCAATATGATGTGTCAGACCCATGTGGTGCCTGTATTATTTAGCTTTAAAATTATCTCAAAAATATCACTGCAAGTTGGATAGGAATTTCATTTTTAATTTTTTTATTGTTTACTATCCCCACCCCCCCGGACATACAATTTATACAATAACCTACAGAAATTACATTGAAATCTCAGTCTTAGACTCAGTTTTTCCACTCCACATCTTAATACATTATCTAAATAATTCCTAACTGGATCCCACATGTTCTTAATTATTATAACACTTTCTATTTTGTCTATATTGTTCAATTTACAATTTATTTCCACATTTAGCATATTTACTATATAGTTATACCAGTTTGTCAGAGTCCACTTTGTTTTAACTTTCCAATCCCTCACTAAAACAATTTGAGCACACACTATTAATTTGTCAACCACTTTTTCCTTTTGCAGGTTATATGCTCCCAGAATCCTTGCACGTAATACATTTCTACTGGCTATTATGATTTGAAGATTTAACATTCTATTAATTTCTCCTTCAATCATTCTCCAATACTCCTGTACTCTGTCGCATTCCCATATCATGTGATGAAACACACCTCTTTGTTTACAACCATACCAACACCTGTCCTTTACCCCTAGTTAAAAAAAACACCAAGAAAGTTGTGCATTTACCATTTTTGTAACATTTTCCTTCTTGTTTCCCTAAGTACATTATTTTTTTTCCTTTGCTATATTACTTATTTTCCTTTGGATATCTTCCCTCTCAATTTCCATATTAATTTTCCACATTTGAAATAATTCCTCTATTATTTCTTCTTTTGTCATTATAATTTGTTTGTACAAGTCTCCTGCCACTTTTTTCTTCTCTCTCAAACATTTCAGGATTTAGATTGCCATACATTTATGGAGCAATTAATTTTGAAGAAATGGCAAACATATGTTTATTCCTTAATAATGTTGGTGTGTCTCTGCAACTGATGATCCAGGACGCAAGCCAGTTTTATGGATAAATAAAATGAGTGGGATATTATGCCATGAGGAAGTAATACCACTTCATTATACTTCTAGCTAACCCAATTTGATGATTTAGCTTTTCTGCGAGAGAAATATTCCAAATTTGTCTAAGCCAACTTTCAGTTGTGTATGCAAGAAGGCATTTTGCTTTCTTCTCTCTCCCCCTTTCTTGTGGCCACTGCTCACAGGAGTCCAACCAAGGCTCTATAAAGGGTATTTGTGCTTTTGAAAATAAATATTGCTCAAAGGACTAGTTAATGATTGTATGGTGCGGTTTCTCATGTTATGTCTAATGTCTCTCTAAAGTTATTAAAATAAGTGAAAAAGAATGCCTTTCCCCACATTTTTTCCAACACAAGAAGGAGTTTATTAATAAAGTGTGTCTTTTACTGATATTAAATGCCCTCTAGCTCAGCTTGAGAGTGGACTGACTTCACAGAGAGTGAAATTGTTCCCAGAGGAGTTTTGTTCCACATTAACGTTCCGTGATCCTACACATACTTGTGTTGTATAAATCTACTTTTGCATGGATACAAGGCAGTTATTTTGCAGAACCATTCTGCTGCATCATTGTGCAACTGAATATGATATTAGTCCATGTGTCAGCTTTGTGTACCATAGTAGAATGGGAAATGCACAATGGCTATTCCTGAAATAGTGAGTAAAGTGGCACTGACTGATAGTTATGGACATTTCTAGAAAGTGCAACTGTGTTGCTTGTATCCTAGCTCATCAGAAATGGTCTCACTTGTGGAATTTTGCTTATGCAATCAAGAACTAAATACAGCCATTGAACAACAGCCAAAAACAGTACAAATGGATGTTTCTGGCCTATATTTTATGTTGTTTCAGCTATCTACTACTTATCTATCTCTATATGCACAGCACACACATGCATGCAGACACAGGTGCCATCTACACTGGAGTTTCCAGGGTAGTTACATAGACAGTTTCCAACTATATGACACAGTCAGTGTAGACTCATTTAGTGTGGTTTAATTGGATTGAATTGCATTATATGAGTTAAACTGCATTATATGAATCTACACTGATCATATAAAGCAGTTGTAAACTGCATTGCTCTGAGTTTTCTGGGCTGTATGGCTATCTTCCAGAAGCATTATCTCCTGATGTTTCACCCACATCTATGGCAGGCATCCTCAGAGGTGTGAGGTCTGTCGGAAACTAGGCAAGTGAGGTTGTAAACCACTTTAGAGCCCTAGATATGCTTGAATTTTTATTACAAACTTTCAAGTATAGTGGAAATTTGGTTAAGTTGCACCTGTTTTTTTCTAAGTTGTAGAACCAAAATATTAGGAGAATCCCTCCCTTTCTTCCCTCCATTTTGATTCATGCAAACTGACAAAAATATACTGTCACAATATGACTTAGACTGAACAAATGTTGTTGCTGTCGCTGTCGTATACCTTTAAGTTATTTCTGACTTATGGCAACCCTAAGACTACCAACCACAGAGCTTTCTTGACAGAATTTGTTCAGAGGGGGTTTGTTCTTGCCTTCCTCCGAGGCTGGGAGAGTGTGACTTGCCCAAGGACTTGCCCAAGGACTCCATGGCCAAATGGGGATTTGAACCCTGGTCCTACAATATCCTAGTGCAACACTCAGATCATTACATTATATTGGTTCTGATACAGAACAATATAATCATATAATCAAATGCATTCACTTTGTTCTTCCTCAAAATTGCCCTTCTTGCTAGTCAATAATAGAAAACTTGCTCTCTGCAATCTATCTATTACCAAGGAAAGAAAAGACATTTAAATGAATATGTTTAAATTAATTGATTGTTTGAAATATTTTACTGGAAATGTTTCTATACTTTTTTCTCCCTATCAAAAACTAAATAATAATAATAATAATAATAATAATAATAATAATAAAGGTCTCATATTATCCAAAAAATATTCACCACACTAAAAGATGGTATAAAGTGACATGACAATATATAAAAAGCAAAACCCAGGACTGGTTATAAAATTATTAAAGAGTTTTTATATAGTTTTAAACACTTTTTAGTATTTTTAATTGTTTAATTTACAAATTATTTATTTTAAATCATCTATTTACATTATTATTATTGTACTGATTTTATTTTCTTTGTTTGTGTACATGTTATTATCTGCATTGAGCCTCATTATCAGGAGAAATGTGGGATAAAATAGTAATAATAATAATATAATATTGCTATTTTTTTTTATTTTGAGGTAGGTATTATTTCAAGTTGCTCTGCTTAAATCATAGCCATTTTAGTTCCTAGAAATCTGGAAAAAGGCTTGTTTGCCAAACAAAAATATTGTATCCAACAAATTCTTTTCAGGAATACAGATTTAAAGTATTTTTCTTCCCTTTCTTTAGGTAATTTTCTATCCATAAATATCAGTCCCAGGGGCAACAGAGTAGTTTTAGAAAGCCCTAGATTTAAAAAAATATCAGAAGAGTGCTACAAGTTTCTTTGATGTATGGGGTACTATATTGTTATCTATATTTGAAAACATTCCTCAGTCTCAGACAGCGTCTAGCTCTCAGTCTTTTAAAAGGCATTCTTTATTTATATGCAGACAGGTAAAAATTTGGTTGGGTTTGGGTGTTTGATGGGTAGCTGACAGCAAAAAATGCTGTCCCCTCACTGCTGACACCCCCAGCCCACCTCCCACAATGACTCCTGTTAATTTTCACATGGAAAAGACATGAAACGCTGGATCTAAACAGAAATGAAACTCTGGGGAAGTTCTGACCTGTCAACAAGGCTTGCAGCTGTCTTCTGATTCTGTAATGGGAAAAGGGATGACCTGGGTTCAGTGTTATTTCAGGGCTCTGCCACATTGTACAGGCTGAAACAAGTTTGTTTCAGCTTCTCGGCACCCAACACCTTTTCTACAAGAAGGCTGTTAAAGAAGAAGAAAAAGGTGAAACAAGAAGGCAGGAAGGACAAAGACTTCCTATCCTCCACTTCTGGCTGCAAGAACCTGATGTTTGATTCCAGGTGTACTGGCAGAGAAAGAGGCTTCCAAAAATATATAGAAATAGTTACATTTGCTGACAACAACAACAACTTTATTTCTAGACTGCTCTCTCTCTCTGAGACTCGGGGCAGTTTACAGACAAAGAAGGCAACATTCAATGCCTTAAATAAGTACAACATATCAAAAAATAATACAAAATAGTACACACTAATAACAATAAACTTATAACAAAAGAATTAAACATTGAAATGGAAACAAAACATATCAATTGAAGAATGGTATAAAGAATTATGGAAAATAGCAATAAATGATAAATTGACATGTAGGTTAAGAGTCAGGAAAGGGGTATGGAAAGAAAATGATTTTGATAAAGTTTGGGGAAAATTTATTGAGAATGGCTTAAAAGAAGTAGACGGGAAATTACCTCCACAAGAAGAAATGGTATTTTGGAAAGAGAATGCAAATTGAAGTGGCTCGGAAGGGGGGGGGGCACAGAGGTGGGGGGAAAAATATACTATATATATATATATACACACACACACACACACACACACACACACACACACACACACTTTGGTTGATGTAATGAATTGAGGATAAAAAAAGAAATGGAAACAAAATGAAAATAATCCAATAAGACATAATAATACCAATAACATGAATTAACATCAAGACATAAAAGAGAATAAACATATCTGTCCGATGTAAGATGGTGTTATGTTTCAGAAGGTGATGCTAGAGAGGTTCAATAATTTAGTTTTAGTTTGGTTTCTACAAGTATGACAGCTAAATTTTGAGATGATACACAAGTTTGCTGAAATTCATCCAATGTTTGAACCACTCAGCAGACTTTGCTTCAAGTCCTTTTCATGATTTTATGCCATTTTGTCACCAAAATGTTCTGATGTGAATTTTTTTCAAGGTATCTTTGAGCTTTGTATGAAAATGACCTTTATAAGCAAATGGTCATGTATTGTCCATCCTTGGTCTGACTCAATCCAGCCTGTCTGAAAATACATGGCCATCTCCCATTTTGACTGAACTAGTCATTAATAATTACACTTTAGTTCAGGATCAGCTGAACTAAAAGTGTTGTTGCACAGTGCTGATAGAGGCAGTGTTTCAGGATGAAGTTCTTTCTTGTCTGCCTATGCAGTAATGACATCTGGTCCCACATCAAACATATTGCATATATCCATGTATAAGTTGACCTTATGTATAAGTTGAATCCGGGGGGAAATTATGGATTTTGATATCACCCATTCCGTAGAGAATTAGACCGCAAGGACCAGATGTCATTTCTTCACTTAGGCATTCAAAATCCATAAGTGGCTCCACATCAGAAAGAGTAGAGGGAGATGGTACTTCATTCTGGTTGTCCTAGGGCTGATTGAGCTCTCATCTTTCAAATCGGAAAGGGAGATGGTTCCTTTTTTTAAAAAAAAAAATAAGAGTTTAAGTACAGAACTTACACTGACCAATAAATAAGTTGACCAAGTATTTTGGGTCAATTTTTTGACTAAAATTCTAGCCTTATACATGAGTATATAGAGAAAAGACAAAGGGATGGTGCAGTGGTGGTTCTGGTTTCTCTTCATGATATCATCTCATTATCAAATCTTGACTGGCCATGCAATACTTTGAGATCATCAAATTTGTAAGGCTATCATTGCCTTGAATCATACAGGGAAGAAGCCCTTTCAAACTAAAATAAACAAATAAAAAAGTAAAACTGAATTGGAAGGCAATGGAAGTAAACAGGTGCACACAAGATGCATGAGAAAACATGGAATGTAAGTTTTTTTTCTCTCTCTCCCCACCCCCCATACCCTCATCAAAAATTTTCACACGAAATAAGTAAACCTCACATAAATTGAGTGCAGTACTGTCAACAACAGTTTTCCATGGCTTTCCCCGCACCCTTTCTCCCACTCCCCACAATTTCCTTGGCACATACAAGCTCTGCTCGCTTTCTTCCAGCTGGGGGAGGCTGCTCACAATGAGGCGCATAGAGCCCTAACTAGAGTCATGGTCTACATTCTAACTCCATCTGTAATAACAGTGAGAGTCTAGACACACAGACTCAGGACACTGCCTGGTATTGTTCAGTTCAAGCAGCCCAACTCTGGAGCTGGCTGAAATATGTCAGTCAGTCCCTTGGCTGTTTAGCTGCAGAAAGAGACAGCACCAGTACAAGAAACTGGAAAAAAATACAGGTATTCCAGAAGGGAAGGGCACTGCTAGGAAAAACAGGATTAGGAAGACAGGCTTGAATATTTTCTGAAGGCTTTATTGACATGCAGAAGCATTTATGCGTAATGGGGGCCTCTGGGACTGTCAAGGAAGACTAGGGATTTTATTAGCTGTAGTAGTGGCCAGAATGCATATTTAAAAGCAACTATAGAACAAACAGAAAAGTAGCAAGTGATCAAAGTTAACTTTTCACCAGATTGGGCCAAGGCATATGGGGACCCACAGGTTGGGAACCACTGGTCTAGAGACTGAAGTCAACAGCATCTCAATACCTGAGTTAACCATTGGAATTTTCTGCTTCTTCCCTGATCCCTCACTTAAGGCCGATTACCATTTCTGAAGGACACTTTCACACTTTGTAGTATTTTAGTTCCTTATAGGAACCCCCTGTGGCACTATGGGTTAAACCCTTGTGCCAGCAAGACTGAAGACTGACAGGTTGGAGGTTCAAATCTGGGGAGAGTGCGGATGAGCTCCCTCTGTCAACTCCAGCTCCCCATGTGGAGACATGAGAGAAGCCTCCCACAAGGATGGTAAAACATCAAACATTCAGATGTCCCCTGGGCAGCATCCTTGCAGATGGCCAAATCTCTCACACCAGGAACGACTTGCAGTTTCTCAAGTCTCTCCTGACAGAGGTAAAAAAAAAAACAGATTGGTTCAATCATCCCTTCTTTCCTAGCTCAGACCTGTGCCAAATTTCTACAACCATGAACCTCTCAGCAATAAAAGGTGTGGAGGGAAAGGCACAGTTATACCTGGTACAGCCCTACATTCTGCCATTGTGATCAAGATTGTCATTCCCATGTTCTAAACAAATAAACAAAAAGTTGGTGTGGATCAGTTTCCCAGTTCCTAATGCAATATGGAGGAAGGAGGACAAAGTCCGATAGTGTTTGCGAGAACCTGAGAAAAGACTCACACCTGTCTGTACTCCAGATTTAGACTTGAAACTGTGGTTGCCAAAATATCCTTCAAAAAGCAAAGACAAAAATAAAACAACATTTCAAAGGAAGCTAGGAGGAGTTTGAGCTTACTAGGCTAAAGTATTTTCTCTGGCTTGTCATGCTTCCAGGTTTATTTCTACAAACTTGACTTCCAATTTCCTTTCCCTGTTTCTAAATTACCTATATCCTATAAATTTCATGTTTCCAGCATGGAGGTTGCACAGTTTCAAATCTCAACTATTTTCCTTTTCTGGAGACTGAAGAGTATTCAATTTGACCAATTATTGATGCAATACTGAAAGCAAATTTTGTAATCTACATAATATATTCCACAGTGCAAAGCAGAGTGGGTGAATTCTGGGATTATTTCATAATGGTTTTAGAACAGTCATGTGAAACAAAATAATTATGTATGGAATGAAGAATGAACTAAGACCAGAGCTGTTTATCTAGTCATATCACCCACCGCCTTAAAAAAAGTCTGCAGCATATTTTCCAAACCAGAATCCAAAATACTGTGGGTTTATATGTGCAAAGCAGCTTGTGACTTTTGCCTTGTTGTGCAATCCAATGAAAAATGAAAAGACAGATTTGATTACTGAGAGAGTGTGCCTATATTTAGACAAGAGACACTCTTCCATTTCCAGATATCAGTACATATTCATCTTGGTAGAGATCCGATAGAAGTCTAAAGACACCAGATCCCCCTGATCTTGCAAGCTAAGCAGGATCAGAGCCGGTTAGTACCTGGATGGGTGAAGGAATAGCAGGTGCCACTTTTCAGAGGAAGATAATATTCCTTGCCTATGAAAATCCCATGAAATTCATGAGCTTAGGTCAGTAGACAACTTGAAAGCACATATGGATTAGATGACTGCAGAAGATCTTCATGCATGGTGACTGTGACAGTGTTGATTCTTCAGAAACAAGGCACAGTAATCTCAGTGGGTCTTGCTTCTGAGGAATCAAATCAAGCAATAGTCTTTAGTTTGCTTTTTTGCTAAATATGCTTAGGTTGCAGCCTTCTATATCACGAATCTTGAACTTTATGTCCTTCAGATGCATTTGAATGTACCACCTTTATCCCCAGCTGGGAGGGCTGGTGATAAAGGGGTTTATATCCTGCACAATATAATGTTAGTGTTTGTGTAGCAAATGGTTCAACTCAATTTCAGGAGCATGCTGAACTGCTCACTTGTCAGAGAAGCAGATTCAAGCAGTGGGCCCATCTCTTTTCTAATATAACCAAGAATCAATATGAAATGGAAGTGTGCAACGCCTTCACGAGACCACCCATGATATCCGCCCTCACAGAGAGAGAGAGAGAGAGAGAGAGAAGAAACATATCAGCCATATGTAAGTTGAGCTGGTTCATATTTCTGGGCCTGGGGACAATAGTTAACATATGTTTTGCATTCTCCCTGGACTTATGCAGATTTTGATGGCTCTTTACATAGATGGTGTACAACAAGCAGAAACAGGCTTCCTCCTCCCCTCCCACCTGAAAACAATTACCACATTGTGGACACATCCCCTCCAAGACATTGTACATTGTTGGGCCAGTGTCAAGGCAGAAGGCTAGAAAACAACCTTGCATAACTGTCTAATAAACTATTCTAATCCTCATCTAGAAGTACTTTCCAGTTGTGGAGAGAGAGCAATTCATGAATGAAGAGAGGATCAGCATTTGTATTGTAACAGATAAATCATGTGACCCTCCAGATGTTATTAGACTGCAACTCCCAGCAGCTATTGCTGCTGATAAGGAATGCTGGGAGATATCGTCTGACAGTATCTGGATGGCTGAACAATTCCCAGCCACCATTTAACTGCAGGATGTATGAATTTGA